AGGTTATCATGGGCTATAATGTCTAGACTGCTTCTCCCGATAATGATTAGTTGAATATTATATGCTAAAAAACAAGATGTCAACAGCATCTTGGACTTGTTCCTGCTGAGCAATCTAAAAGGGAATGTGGTCTTGCCAGTAACATGGATGGAGCGTTAGTGGGTAATTCTTTTTGGTTGGACAGGTAGTAGTAGTAGAAAGCAACAATTATTTTGCTTTTATTTTTCCTCCATTGATTATATTCCAGATGATTCATTCTACGGTAATGTCTAATTCACTCATTTAGTTTGTGAGCTAGAATGGATATAAACATGCAGTGTAACTTCTCCCTTTCTATTGTTCCCTGGTCCTTTGGAATGCATAATATCCTTCAAAACTCATAGCGGTCAACTCACCACTTAATTTGGTCTTTCTGAGCTAAGAACTCAAATTCATCTTATTTACTTCTCACATTCTTAATATTAGTACATAGGCAAGGAAGGCTATAGGCCCGTGATGGCAAACCTATGGCTGTTGTCCTAGCTTGCTCCAGCGTGTGCTGGCCAGCTGATTTTCCGTTCCCAGAAGTCTCCAAGCGATGCCAGGGAAGTACAGGGATCAGTGGAAGCTCTGGGAGGGTGTTTCCAGCCTCCGGAGGGAGGCAGTTTTTGCCCTCCCCAGGCTCTAAGAAAGCCTCTGGAGCCTGGGGAGGGTGAAAAATGGGCCTACCGGAAGTCGGAAAACAGGTTGTTTCCATCCTCTGGAAGCTTCAGGAAGGCCTGCTAGGCCCAAAACGGGGTGGGGGTGGGGTATTGTGTATGCATGCATGGGGGTATTGTGTATGTATGCATGCATGCATGGGGGCGCAGGGCTCAGGGGGGGGGATTGAATTATGGGCATGGGTGCAGGCAAAAGCACCCGTGGGTGCATGCACATGTGTATCACGTGTGCAATAGCATGCGCATGCTCGCTTTTGGCACCTGAGAGAAGAAAAGGTTCTCCATCATTCCAACATTCCTTTAGATTCTCCATTCAGTAAGTTAAGAAACTTCTTGTCAGCAACATTTTCACTTTCCACAATACGTCCATCTTTATTTGAAGTTCTCACTTGAGAAATTTCATTTCTAGCCACCGTAGAATTCAATTAAAAATCCTCTTGGTCAAAATCACTACGATTTGACCAAACACATTTTTACGAAAGTATTTCTGCAAATACAAAACCACCTTCTCGTTGGGAACAACTATAGACCAGACATCAGATCATGGCACCTGAAGGCAAAGTAAATCTCTGTTGTGCATCCTTCTTCCCTTCTGTTCAGGAGGATCCTTCATCATTCAGGGCAGGATTTGGGGAATACGGAAATAAGTGCAGGGATAGACAATGAAAGCAGTTTCCGTAGGGGGTAGAAATGCACAAAACTCCAAAATAGAGTGGAGCTTTCTTTTATGACTCTGAATTATTCATTCTTTTTTGCATTTTTAAGTGTATTTGGAAATGGTTTCTTGAAGGCTTTTTCATATTAAAGTTGTGGGAGAGAAATGTTTCCTTTAACTAATCCACATCTTCCAATGTTATATTCTAGACTTCTTTCACCACTGCTGATAACCACCAGTGGGGTTTTATATTGGCCAAAGACAAAGAGAGAGAGGGAGGGGGGGGGAAATAAGAGACTGCATTTCCTCTTAATCTACAGACATATTGGTCTGCATATGCAAAGTGCTGAAGCTATTCACCGACATAATCTACACCATATGTAAAAGTTCCATTGCAAGGTATTCTCTGTGGAACATTAAATATCCCAGCCATTCATCAGATAACTACTAGCTATTAACTCTTGGCAAGTAACATTGGCTCACGGACAAATTACAGTACAAAGGAATCATTGGTTTTGCTTGGATTTAGAATCCCTGTTATATTAAAAACCAATGCCTTGACATCGAAAAAGATCTTTCCTCAAAACAAAACATGTGAAAAAAAAATATTTTTTTAAAAAATACAATGATGAAATAAGTAAGTGAACGAGACCTATTTAAAATTGGAACTGAAACCAAAGAACATTTCATTCACTTATTTAAAATTTTAAATGATACAATTGCTTTCTGCTTTCTTCCCTCGTGTCTAATATTTTAAATGATTATTATAACGAAGGAGTTTAGTATTATTTCCTTCCTTCTAAAACATTTCTTTGTTCTTTTATGCCCCTTGGATTTTTTTATTTTTTGGGGGAGGGCCAGCACTTACTTCCAAACATTTCTAGTCAATAAAGTAAGTAGAGTTATTGAAAAAAAGGGTATCAGACAAATAAAGTACAAACTTTTCGAAGCAATTATTGCAATTGATTTCCTCAGAAAAGATTCTTAATAAATGCTAGAATTCAAGATTCTGCTGTTAATCTCTAAACATTCAGAATAAAGAATATTTAATATTTTTTGTCACATGGCAATTAATCAGTGGTGGGTTACGACCGGTACGCCGCGGTATGGGCGTACCGGTGCCTGCTGGGAGCACCAGGTACCGTTCTGGTACGGTGCTCCGGAGGGCCCACCCACCCACCCGCCCACGCTCCTTACCGGTATTTTGAGGTTTTCGGGGCTTCCGTGCACGGAGTAAATGGCGCTTGTGCGACACTCCGCCAAGCAGCTGGAGCATCGTGGGTGGTAAGTACACATCTGTGCGCTGCACGCATTCAGGTGCTGGACGTCCGGACCTGTTGCACCGTACCGGCTGCACCGGGATCCGGAACCCACCACTGCACTGCAATTCATGTAGAAACTTAAAAAGGGAAAATCTCTTTCCATTTACTGTGAGAAAACATTTGGTTGCAGTGGAATGTTCTTTTAGGGGTAAAAGTCTAATAAAAAATAACCAATAGTTCTAGTAGCATGATGGCAAACCTATGGCATGTGTGCTAGAGGTGGCACGCAGAGTCCTCTCTGTGGGCACTTGCGCCATTGTCAGCTATTCTTCCAATTTCAGGGGCATGCATGAGTGCTGGCCAACTGGTGTTCCGTTGCACCGGAAACCCAAAGACCAGCTGGTTGGCACACGCACCTAGTCTTCAGGTTTCTGGCACTCCAGCACGCGCATGTGCACCAGTCAGCTGGTCTTCGGGTTTCCGTGTTCCACATGCGCGTGTTCCGGTTTGGGCACTCAGCGCCAAAAAGGTTTTCCACCACTGTTCTAGTGCATAGGCTTCCTGTCTCAAGCTGAGAGAACTCACTCCAGAAAGGGGTCTGATTACCATGTATCCTGGGGATGAAGGTTGCCCTTCTCTGAATCAACTTTCTATCAGCTTAATCTTACTTTCTATTGGCATGTGCTTTATTAGCCTTTCTTTAGATAGAATTAGGGCTATATGAGGTAAGAAATGGAAGAAAACATAACATATAATCTTTGTATTCTCCAAGATCAAATTGAAAAAAGAATCAGATGAATAAACTGTACCTTGAAGTGCATTTTAAATATAAATCAACATTTCTTTTGAGTCAAGCACAATTCCTGGTGACTTCACTGATTTGTCCAAGCAGGTTTTCTAGTAGAAATACAGGGGTGATTTGCAATTATTTTCTTCCTGGCTGTTTTTCAATTTTCCAATTCAGCCTATAGGCATGAAAGTCTCTGTTGGTCATCCAAATGTTAACTAGGGTTAAGTCCGTTTTGTTTCTTACCCAGACAAGATTAGCCATGTTGAAACTTTCAAGGATTTGCTCTGGCAATTTTCAAGCCAAATAGTCTTTTTTCTCTCCAAACAAAGATGATACTTTTTATTTTTGCATGTGTACCACACTGAGAGCATTAACAATGCAGAAATTGTGAGTAGCTTAGAAACTGACTTGATTCATACAACTATTTTGTGAGAATTATCATAGTAGCTTGTGAATCAAGAATTGTAACTACCGTTTTCCACTTGTTGACTTAGAATTACTGACCAAGCTGGAAACAAACGTTTGTGGGCTAATGTATGAAAGAATATATACTATTTTTATTTTTGCTTTAGTTCGCCTTTCAAGGGAGATACAATGTTCTGGTTCTTGCTTAGAGCCAGAAGAGCAAAATCTTATTTGTCCTCATTCATTTCATTTCTTATGTCTTTTAGACTCCCAATTCTGTTCTATTGGCATGTAGCAGTTTCCGAAAATCTAGAATATAACTTCTCGCCAATGTTGCAGTCATTTCTTGTGGACCACAAAACTGTGAACTCTTAGTTTTCCTCCTTTCAATATAATGAGTATAGCCCCACACAGCACACAATAGACAGATCTTCACCTATAATTGCAGTCTTTGATGTAAGAGGTTATACTTTAATATTTTCTCTTTGGAAAAGCAGAGCATCATAACTGCATCCACTTGGCTAACCTGAGAGATGTATGCAGTAAACAGTAGTGCTTCAGATAACTTCTGCTATTCCTATTCTTATTTTCTCCTTGCCAGTGACTATAAATATGCATTCCCTTAAATTGATAGCAATGTCTATTTCAGCCACCAAATCAAATTAGCTAATATGGGTTTCAGGAATTATATTTGTCCTTTATTTATGTAAAATAATTTTGGTTTTACTTGCCAAGTATAAATTTATTTTAAAGACTTGTTTCAGAGCACAGACCCTGATGTTTATCAGCAATCTCCCAGTTTAAAGAAACACACAAGAGGGAAGAAAATATTGCAATCCTATAATTACCTACTCTTATGTCAACTCTACTGAATTCAGGCATGACCAGATAGCAAGGCTTCAATTCTATATGCACAAACTCTTACCGGGGAAAAACAGCCTAATAATAGCAATTGTACTTAGACTTATATACCACTCCATACAGCTTTACAGCACTTTCTGGGCAGTTTAGAATTTCAGCATATTGCCCCCAACAATCTAAATCCTCATTTTACCAACCTTGGAAGGATGGAAGACTGAGTCAATCTTGAGCCCCGTCAAGATTGAACTCCAGGCTGTGGACAGAGTTTGCTTGCAATACTGCATTCTAACCACTGCGCCACCAGGGCTCTATTAAATATAGCTGTACTTGTTGATGAGAAGACAACAGAATGTCACATTCTAACTCTATGCATGCCAGTAATACATAGAGTTTTGTGAAGTCAAAGTTACATTAAAAAAGTATTTGGGGGTCACCATGTGGATTTGAAATATCTTATCTTTTCTTTCATGCTTTGAGAGAATAGCTAGCACAGATCAAATGTTTTCAGAATGTTCTATAAAGGACAATTTTATATGACGCAAACCTGAACTGAAAGCCAAGATTTCAAATAGCGCTTGGGTAGTTTAACAATAACAATCACTGCTGTAAAGTTTCAAGTCATTCAATACCCAAAGTTGTTTCAAAAGCTTAAGAAATGTATTGCCATGTTGAGGCTACAATCATATATTTTCTTCATGAGAAAAGGCTGTGTTGAATGCAGGTCCTATTTGCAAGGAACAGGCGAAGGATTTGGCTTCGTATTTCATACAGAACAAAAAATATAGTTCCAGTACTCATAGCTACCTTTCAATGTAAACATTTCAGTTTATAACTCCCCCCAAGAGGCAAGCCCAGTCAGATTGTGCTGCCAAATTTTTAGTTAAAAAAGATTTTGGTGGGCATGAAAAACAAGCAAAAGTATACTTAAGGTTTCATTAGACCCAATACTTTCCATCTAATATTCCTTCGCCTCACCCCACAAATATTCACGGCCAAAAATGTCATTTATGCCTGTGATATGATTGCTATGTTCCTTCCAGCCCCCATAGAATGGAAAAAAAATACTTAAACAAGGAAAAGTGGCATCTCTGGCTACAAGAAATTGCTTACCCCTGGTATCTGAAGATGAAATTTAATGTATTTCTATCAAACAATTCTAAGTACAGATTGATAGGTATATTTTTAATTATTTGATAAATTTGGTTTTTTTTAATTAGACTTCTTTCAAAGACCTGATTTGCAAAACTCATATGGTATTTTCCACAGTACTTTTGAAATTTGGGGCACAGAGTCATATATGAAACCATCATTTTGTTGTGTGTCTTGTTATAAAACAAACAAAAAGAAGGTGGTAAAGGGGAAAACTTACTAAATTGAGGATGTATGCGGTTAACCCAAGTTATTTTCCAACCAAGTTCTAATTATTGCTTCCAAAAGATGGAACAGAAATGCTTGTATTTGGCAAGCAAATTCACTTAATCTCTAAAGTATAAGACGATGAAACTACTATTCTTGTCAACCGCTAACTAGAGGTCTGGAAGGTTGCTCGTGATGAGAAATCAAGGAAGGGATCATATAAAAGGACCGGGAAGGCCTGAAAGGGACTATCTCTTGATGTCTCTCCCACTGCATCAGAATACTTAAGAGATATGCCTAAGAAATCCCTTTGATATAGAAGAGCCAAATGCATGGAAGAACAACACAATTAGAAGAATGCATTGTTTCACCAGCATTATCTCTTGAACATGATCTAATCAGGAGTCCTGGAAAATGACTGCTTTGGCAAACAGTTCAAAAGGAAAGAACAAAAACGTTTTAAAAATAGAAAAATTCTATACTGCTCCTATTGCATGAAAACCTAATGATCTTACAATATAGCAGCCACTTAATCAGTTTTGGTAGGATAGCCATCACACCAGGGGCATGCAAACAGCCAGAGTTCATTATATTTTGCTTCGTGGTTAGTGTGTTGATTATTCATGTAGCCGCTCTTAACTTTCTCAAACAACTCAATGTTCACCCAAAGAAAACCATACTGCATTGGTTTTGGAAGAGCAGCAGGTCTACACATTCAGCACACACCAATAAGGAAGTTGTCATATTATGGGATAATTAAAAAAAAAGAAGTTCCTGTGCTTCACTGTCAATCTGGGGTCCCATGAATCATGATGTCCCTTGACGTTTCTGTTGTTGATTTCTGATGACCTCCAATTGTTTTTTGCATTGCTGGTAGTAGGTGGAGAGACTTTTATTTTCATCTAAAAGCTTTTTATGCTCTTGTACTAGACGTGATGTATTTTGCTGGTCTTTTTCATCCTGGTCCAGTTCTGCTATTAGTTCTTGCCTATATTAATTCAGAAGGTTACTTAATTAATTCACAATATTAAAAATATTCATAGGCAATTTCATTGGTAGCTAAATTCAATAAGTTGATTAATCATTTGCCAGAAAAAAAGACACTAGATGTGTGATATACAGTCTGGATCACAGACCCATTAAGGTGCAAATACCTATTTTTGCCTACATATTTATGTATCTGAATGCCCTCTAAATTTTTAACATCTGTCATTTTTAGCCAGCACAATGACAAGCATTGTAGAAACTGTAGCCAAGAGTAATTGGAATACAATAGATTGCTATGCAACTTAACATATTCACACATATTTTTTCTGTGTGCATGTAATCTATGTATGCAGTAATCTATGCATAATGCAAAATATTTGACAATAAAAGAGAAAAGATACGCATCTTTGTTGCAATCTCCCAGTATCTTCTTTTAATATGTAGCTTTATGTTTTATTGGGGTGGGTGGGTTTGTATCTGTGCGTTTGTGTGTGTAAATGTATGCATATCTCCCCCCTCCTGTCTGAGCCCATGGTATGGGGAAAGATAGGGTAAAGGAATAACTGCCTCGGTGAAATTATGTATGACACAGAAACATAGGAAATCATAACATGATGAAAGTATTATTGTAAGTAACATTATCCTGAGATAAATGGAAAGATTCATTTTACGAAATGACACGAAATACTTATGTTGCAGTGAACATAAAATAGAAAATATTTTTCCTATTATATCAGTGAACAATTTGTGTCCCTAACAGCTGTCAACAGTTTTCTATGGTTTCACAAAACTGCTAAAAAAAAGACACCTAACTAACTATATAGAATTATTTTGGTACACCTTCAGGTTTTGTTATTTTTACACCATTCCTAAAATAGGAATGTTCTATGGTGAGATGAATAGCTGCTAAAATAGCAAAAGTAAGAGTCATGTTGATTTCTCCCCTCATGGGTGTCCCTTCATTTAATAGATGAGGCAAGCATTCAAAACACTTTAAGTCTCTATTTTAGATTACTAAATATTTCTAGTACATCTGTGTTGAATTATTTCAATTTTCTCTAGGACTCCAAGACACCTTGTACATGCTACACTTAAGCCATGTACTTTGGGGAACCTACTTATGAAAACAGGAAATACTGGCAAGTACTCTTTTTTCACTACCGTATTTTCACCCATATAACCCGCCCACGCAAATAACCCGCCCACGCATATAACCCGCGGGTTTTCCGGATCGTGTAAAATATCTTCCGTATACCCCGCCCACGCATATAACCCGCCCACGCATATAACCCGCGACGAGTAAGAGAGAAGGGAAACAGCTATCGGGGTGGGGGAAGAAACGGAGAAACAAGCCTGCGCAAGCTGGGGAAGAGGAAAGGAACGGAGGAGAAGGAAACAGCTGAGATCGGGGTGGGGGAAGAAATGGAGAAACAAGCCTGCGCAAGCTGGGGAAGAGGAAAGGAACGGAGGAGAAGGAAACAGCTGAGATCGGGGTGGGGGAAGAAATGGAGAAACAAGCCTGCGCAAGCTGGGGAAGAGGAAAGGAACGGAGGAGAAGGAAACAGCTGAGATCGGGGTGGGGGAAGAAATGGAGAAACAAGCCTGCGCAAGCTGGGGAAGAGGAAAGGAACGGAGGAGAAGGAAACAGCTGAGATCGGGGTGGGGGAAGAAACGGAGAAAGAAGCCTGTGCAAGCCTCCGATCGTGTAAAATATCTTCCGTATACCCCGCCCACGCATATAACCCGCAGGGGGGCGCTGTGCATGTAAAAACCGCATATAACCCGCGGGTTATATGGGTGAAAATACGGTACACTAAGAGTTAAAAGTACTTCTGCTACCATCAGTCATACATTAATACAATTTATTCTGCCTTAGACTGATGGTTGAAGTAGAATGAAGAGAACTGAAGAAAATGTTATGAAATATAAAATGAATTTTCTATTTAGGCAACAAGGGTTCATTGTGAGTCTGGAAACAGTATCACAAACGTAAGATTAGCCTCCCTGAACCTGGCACCTTCAGATTAGTGATTCAGGACTGTGGACACAATGCATCCTACTCACTATGAAATGAAAATGTTGTGCTTTGTCAAATTTATGAATGAAATTACCTACACAATTGAACATATTTTAAAACTTACTTTCTTTGCAGCAATAAGGCAATTTCTGTTTGAACTTTCATATATTCTTGGGCCATTTTACAGTGCTGTTCAAACACAGCCATAGATTCTTTTGAGTTTGGACATGGTGCTAGAGGCTGAAAATAAAATCATACATACAGATAAAAAACTAAATCAACTGTTATATGAACATAGATGTAAATATGTTTTAATAAATTATTCCAACTCTTGGAAGCATGAGAATTAAAATTTGTCCATAATAAATCTTGTTGCCAGAAATGCAAGCAAAAAAAGCTGTTTCTTTATTAATGAAAGAATATCTGTCCCAGGCAAAGAGTAACAGATGATCTATATAATATGTAATGGTGCTGCCTGAACCTTTCTGCAAAAGATAAAATATAAAAAACAAGAAAAAAGATTTAAAAAGAAAATAGGGGAGGCGAAAATGCAAATGAATAATGAAAAAAATAGAAAAATAACTATCAACGTTTTCAATAGTTATGAAAATAAAAATTCAGTATTAAAAAGTATTTCTGCAATCATAGGAAGTTCTAATTGTCAAATCCCAAAATTAATATAGCATTTCATTTGGTTTCTAGCAAAAAATACAAGTAGCTAGACAAAATCTTTCCTTTTGAACTTGTCATTCTTGAAGAAATGCATTTTAAATGGGCAGCTCCCACCACAGGTTTCCTGTTCTTTCCCTGGAATGGAGCACCATTCAGATTCCAATGAACCATGTTAAGTGTTGAGTTCAGAGTATGAGATGCACTATGGCAGGCGAACTTTTTTTGGCTCGCGTGTCATAAGTGGGGGGAGTGCAAGGGGGGTCGTGTGCAGGCGTGCTGCACCCATAATGCAATGCATGACCCCCGCCAGTGTGCATGTACGCACTACAGGTGCTCCCCATTTTTTGCATGCTTTTTTCACCCTCCCAGGCCCCAGAGGCTTTATAGGAGCCTGGGGAGGGCAAAAACAGACCCCCTTCCCCCAGAAGCCCTCTGGAGGCTTCAGGGACCTTCAGAAGGCTTCCCTGAAGCCTCCGGAGCAGTGAAAACGACCCGAGAAAACCGGAAGTGACTTCCAGTTTGCTCGGAGGGTTGTTTTGAGTGCTCCGAAGGCTTCAGGGACCTTCAGGAAGCTTCCCTGAAGCCTCCGGAGCAGTCAAAATGACCCTCCAAGCAAACTGGAAGTCCGTTCCTGAACTTCCAGTTTGCCCGTAGGGCCAATTTTCTGCGCTCCAGAGGCTTCAGGGAGGCTTTTTTTTGCCCTCCCCAGCTTCCTATAAAGCATCTGGAGCCTGGGGAGGGTGAAAAATGGCTTTAAAAAAGGGTGAACTCAGTTGGCCAGTGCACACATGTGTGTGGCCAGCTGACAGGGCAGTGCCTCGTGTGCCCTGACAAATGGCTCCGTGTCCACCTATGGTACACGTGCCATAGGTTCACCATCACTGCACTATGGCAATGCTGGCATGTTGCAACCTGATCTTGGGAGGTGTTAAATTAAAACTGCAATTCATTGTATCAGATCAGTAATTCTGACTTAACACAGGAATCACATTGTGAATAGTTAGCTTCTGTGCCAAGCAAACTAATTATGTACTCCTCAAATCCGGATTGTGTTACACATACAAATTAATATAGCTATCCAAGGAAATTCAACAATGAAATAACATAGTAATTTACCTGCAACTGATGATCTAATGTAAGATATGCCATTGGGATGGAGTTATCAGACCCATTGGTGTCTGTTGGAAAAATACAGATAGTCTGAATTTTAGTGTTCTCTTGTTATATAATGATACATTCACAGGTCTACCATAAGTACTTGTGCTAATTAGTAACTAAACTATTATAATCATGTAAAGCAGTATGACAGCTGAAGTGCTGCAATGCTGAATATACTATGTTAGTATAAGTTAAAGGTAAAGATTCCCCTTGCACTTATGTCCCCTTGCTAGTTGTTCCCGACTCTAGGGAGCGGTACTCATCTCTGTTTCAAAGCCGAAGAGCCAGCACTGTCCGAAGATGTCTCCATGGTAATGTGGCTGGCATGACTAAACCCCAAAGGTGCATGGAAAGCTGTTACCTTCCCACCAAAGTTGGTTCCTATTTTTTTACATGCTTTCGAACTGCTAGGTTGGCAGAAGCTGGTACAAGTAATGGGAACTCACTCCATTACGTGGTGCTAGGGATTTGAACTGCTGACCTTTCTGATCAATTAGCTCAGTGTCTTAGCCACTAAGCCACCATGTTCCTTATGTTAATATACTATGTTAATTTTTATTACAACAATGACAGTTCACTAGATGCACAATGTAATTCTAGTTGCCACGAAGGATTTGCTATGGTTGAAAAATAAAAAGCTAGAATGATACCTGAAGAAGTAGCTAAAGGGGAAATATAAGGTATTAAACATTGTTTTTCACTTTTATCTATACCCAGCGTAATATATATTATATTTTAAACATATACAGTAAAAACATGCATCTTGGTAATGGGCATAATACATTTCCATTCCAATATACATATGTTCAAATGAGTTTCTGTTCTGTTCTAAAGTATATTTTGAACATGCAACATATATCTTGGGGATTTTAGGTTGTGAAACTAAATTATTTTTTGAACAAAAAAAATCATTTTTTTCAACTGCAAGGCTGTATGTTGTATATGTACTGTACATGTTGCTAAGTAATGCAAGTTTCTTCAGGAAAGAATCAAAAGCAATGCTAAATCCGAAATCTTCGTAAGAACATCAGATGTTTTCAGCAACTGTATCTTGTAGTATTTTCTCAAAGCTGTTTAACAAGCATTTCTCCTAAAGATATTTATGGATTTATTTATGAATAAAAGGGCAAATCTGATTTTAAAAAAAAAAATGTTTGACCATCTGTATATTTTTCAGGATTCTATTTTCTGGTTTCTGTGTTGCTTATATGCTAAGTGGGAAACTCATAACTCCCATACTGCTCCAAAGGGACATATGAACTAACAAGAAATTGCACCTCCTAATTCAGAAAAGGTGCTTGATCTTTTTTTATGCTTTGAAGTCTCTTTGGGGGCCAAAGCCCACAATAAAATGCTCCTTTCTCCAAAGTTGGTGGAGACAGCGGTCATGCATGGGTTAATTCAGTCAGTAACCAATAGAACTGAGTCTACCAAAGTGATGTCATCGCCTCTGAGGAGCACGCTCCCCCCCCTTTTTTAGACTCAGTTCAATTGGAACTGGCTGTGCTAATCACTTTCTTCTCAACTAATACTTAATAATTGACTATTTAAATTGGATTTAATTGGCTTTTACTCAAACAAAAAAGAAAATTGTTTTTCATCTAAATTGGAAGGTTCCTACTGGATCTTGGAGGCAGGACTCTCAATAGTCCCTGGGTGGCTGGAGAGACTTTGCCTGGGCTTGTTCCAAATCCCAATGGTGTGTTTTTGGACTAGGAATGTTTGTCTAAGTTTAAAAGCATTAGACAGGAAAATTTATATATCATGATTCATTTTTTGAAACTTATTAATTATCCAATGATTGGTCTTTATGATCTTAATTATCACTATTCTTCTATTGTTCTATGTTGGTCAATTTTTATTAAGAGTCATTACTTGGTATTATTTTTGTTACTTGAAATAGCTTGTATGTAATTTGTTTCACTGTACTCAATATAAGTATTTATATCACAAGACAGAGTATAAAATAATAACTTTTCATACTAGATTTCATGTCTGTCAAGGGAGAAAAATTCATGAACGTTGCATGGACATTGCTTTCCAGCCTGTCTTAAATGAAAAGATGTACAATTGTTCTAATTCATACATCAATATCTTTGCGTATTTTATGTTAAAATGAAGTGCGGATTCAGAGAGTATTTAGACCCCCTTCACTTTTGTCAATGTTGTTATGCTGCAGCCTGATTCTGCAGTTGTTGAAATTCATTTTTTTCTCATTAATCGATACTCAGTACCCTATAATGACTAAGTGAAATTTTAGAAATGTCTGCAAGTTTATTAAAAATAAAAAACTGAACTATCACATTGGCATAAGCATTCAAACCCTTTGCAACAACACTTGTAGATTAATGAGAAAAAAAATGAATTTCAACAACTGTAGAATCAGGCTGTAACATAACAAAATTGACAAAAGTGAAGGGGGTCTGAATACTCTCTGAATGCACTGTAGCTTACCAAATATATTGAAATATACTTTGTACCAAAAAGTATTTATTTATTTATTTATTATTTATTTATTTGTCTTGTATGCCGCCCACTCCCGGAGG